CGACGAGAATGACCGGGTTGAGAGCAGGGTTGCCATGCCTCCCCCCATCAGTGGGAGTCTCCCACAATTTTTTAGTTTACCCACATACATCTCACTCCCACAAAACTCCCACAATTCGAAATCTCCCACAAAAATCTCCCACAATTTTTTAATTTCTCACACAAATTTTTTTTTAGCATTTTAATGTTTTTAATATATAAATAATAATTTTGAGAAACAGTATTTGATTATTTTTATATTTTTAAAATAAATTTTAAATATTTATTCGAAAAATATGTCTAGTTCTTTTATTTTATTTTTCCGCTAATTTTAAATTTTCCATCCAATCCAATCCATTCGACATTTTCAAAATTTGAAGTTAGAATAGTATGTATAATTATTATAAATATATTTTAAATTTCTAGATTCTATAATTGCAGTGCTCCACTCCATTTTCATAGAAGAATAGAACTTTTAGAAGTGGATTACTTTGGTATTTCTGCAGCATAATTTAGTGAGCCTTTATTAAATTATATTCTTCTGATTGCAACTGCATATTAACAGCATATAGTAGATTTCCTATATGTAAAATTCCTAAATATACTTCTGCCATTTATTTTTGAAATTTTTTTTCAAATAGGACAGCTTTTATAATCTATTTATTTTTTAAAGGTTTGTAAAATTTTAAAATTCTACGATGGCGCGTATTAGGAGGAACCTGTCAACCAATATTATGCTGACTCAATTCTGTAAATACACTATGGTTTTTGCCAAATTCACTGAGGAATTATCAGATCAGAAAGCTGCCATGCAATTCATTGGTAATGCCAAATCTGCCATATTTACCATTATATATGGTTAGCTATGTCTTTGGATATTTCATATCTGGAGAAATTTTTTTTAATAGTTTTATTGAAATGACATTAATTTTGTTGAAATAGGGGAGGATCAAGGGAAATGTTTTGATATCTCCTTATTAGATCTGTTAGAATTGCATATGTTTGCACATCTTTCAAATCGTCAAGAATTGACCTTCTGGATTTATATCCTAAAACATTGTTGATAGCCTTGCTCATTTTGTGTTCTACAAAGTATACTTTTCATTTATATTAGTCGTTAAATATTATGGGGAAAGATTCTACCAACATTGAGATGTTGAGTAACTCTCTGAATGTTGTACTGCATGATAGGTATTTACCATTTCCGCAACTGTAGTTGCATCTATATTATTTCTAATTTTTGAAGAATATTTTTGTTTTGCAATAGATGTTGATAGAATGCCCTGTACTGATTTATGCTTTGAAGATTTTTGATACCTCAAAATATCATATTCCCTTCCCCCATTGTATTAACTAAATACTGTAGAACAACTTCCCCGCACTGATTATAAATATTTTTTACATTGTAAATTTAAAATTGTTTGTTTTTTTATAAAATCTTATTTATACATTTATTTTTTTACATTGTAAAATTACAATTTTTTTATAAAATTTTATCTTGTTAACATTCTTTTGTAATTAAAAAAGATCGTTGGTTATTATTTTTAAACAAAATTAATATATTATAATAAATCAATATGTTATTTTAATAATAAAGATAGTACTCTAAGAAATTTTGTGTCGTACAGTAATTACCTATTTTGAAAAATAGTTGCGTATTTTATTTTGGAAAATAGTTACCTATTTTATTTTGAAAAAGAGTTGGATATTTTATTTTGAAAAATAGTTGGCTATTTTATTTTGTAAAATAGTTGGCTATTTTTAAAGAGTTACCTATTTTATTTTAAATAGTTGGCTATTTTATTTTGAAAAATAATTACCTATTTTATTTTAGATTAGATTTTATATTTATAAAAAATAATAAGCGGATAGCTAAGTCAATTCTAAATCCCGGCCGCAGGCCGGGCCTTTGCGGGCCGAAAAATTTTTTTAGCAATTTCTCCCACAATTTTTATATTTCTCCCACAAAATACCTAATTTCTCCCACAATTTGAAAATTTTGACCTGGCAACCCTGGTTGAGAGGGATAATTAGTTAGTTTGTATATACGGTACTAAATATGCTTTATAGTAAAATTTAGGAGAAAAAGAGATAAAATTGTTGCAATGTAACCCGTGAGCATTAAGGGTATTAGAAATATCAAAATTTGAATTTGTGATAGGAATCATATTAGGTGAAATTCAAAATAGAGATGCTTCTAAATTTTTGAATTTTAAATATGGGCTAGACATTGGTCTCAAAATTTTGTTTTGCAGACACAGCAGGCCTGATCAAAAAACCACGTCCCATGCAACTTTCCCAATATTTTGCCATTTATTTCTATTGTAATTTAATAATGTCTTAAATTTAATTTTATTTTTATATTTAGAATAAAATTTAAATTTGTAGAAATCATATTGAATAAAATTTAAAATTCTTGGGAATTTTTTAATTTTAAATATGGGGTAGACATTGACCTGAAATTTTTTTGCAGACATAGCCAGGCCTGATCAAAAAACCAAGTCCCATGCAACTTTCATAAAATTTTGCCATTTATTTCTATTGTAATTTAATAAAAATGTCTTAAATTTAATTTTATATTCCATTTATTTCGTAATTTAATAATATCTTAAATTATTTTATATTTAGAATAATATTTAAATTTGTGATAGAAATCATATTGGATAAAATTTAAAATAGATATGCTTGAAAATTTTTTAATTTTAAATATGGACCAGACATTGGCCTGAAATTTTTTTTCTCAAACCTGGCCAACCCATGATAATTTTGTAATTTTTTCCCAAGCCTGGAGATAGGTAAATCTCTGAAAACCATATTGTTGGGAAAATTTTCTCAAGCCCGCCAAAGACCATAATAATTTTGTTAGTTGAGAACTGAAATAAAATATATAAAAGTCATAATTCAATTAAAAATAAAATCAATGAAAGTTGCATTGGCTTGGTTTTTTAAGCAGGCCTGGTGATTTCTGCAAAAAAAAATTTTCAGGCTAATGTCTAGTCCATATTTAAAATTAAAAAATAATTTTTCTTATATACACTTAAAAGTTATGCATAACTTATTTTTGTAAATTAACATTTTTAGCCCTCATAGAAGAAAATCCAAGGAGTTGTATGTTATAATAATGATCAGTTTCTAAATTTGAGACAAAAATTTACTGTGCCTACTTGGCAGCTAAAATTTAAAAATATAAGAATACCTATTTAATAGTTTAAATTTTAACTTATATACACTTAAAAGTTATGCATAACTTATTTTTGTATATTATCATTTTTAGCCCCTATAGAAGAAAATCCAAGGAGTTGTATGTTATAATAATGATCAGTTATGTCTAAATTTAAGACAAAAATTTACTGTACCTACCTGGCAGCTAAAATTTAAAATATAAGAATACCTATTTAATAGTTATAATTTTAACTTATATACACTTAAAAGTTATGCATAACTTATTTTTGTAAATTATCATTTTTAGCCCTCATAGAAGAAAATCCAAGGAGTTGTATGTTATAATAATCGTCAGTTATGTCTAAATTTGAGACAAAAATTTACTGTACCTAGCAGCTAAAATTTAAAAATATAAGAATACCTATTTAATAGTTATAATTTTAACTTATATACACTTAAAAGTTATGCATAATTTATTTTTGTAAATTATCATTTTTAGCCCTCATAGAAGAAAATCCAAGGAGTTGTATGTTATAATAATGATCAGTTATATCTAAATTTGAGTCAAAAATTTACTGTACCTTCCTGGCAGCTAAAATTTAAAAATATAAGAATACCTATTTTATAGTTTGAATTTTAACTTATATACACAATCAGTATGTCTAAATTTAAGACAAAAATTTACTGTTAAGGATCTTGAAACAATAATACATTACTCTTGATTTTCAGTACTACAATTTGATTGTTGATATTCAGTATCATATTGTTGAATGGTTGGCAGGAATCCACAAATATATATAATGTATCAGTTATGTCTAAATTTGAAACAAAAATTTACTGTTACGGATCTTGAAACAATAATACATTGCTCTTGATTTTCAGTACTACAATTTGATTGTTGATTTTCAGTATCTTTTTGTTGAATGGTATCTTGTGCAGGAATCTAAAAATATAATAAAATAGTAATTAACTCAAAAAATTTACCAAGAACTACAAACTTTGAATCGTATCTTCTATTTTATTAATTTTGCCAGATTAAGAAATAAAACTTTTGCCGGGATTCGAACCTAAGTCCAATAGTTCATTAGATTTGTAAGCGACGTTCTTGCCGATTGGGTCTCAGGCACTTTTTAAATTTAACTATTTTTAAAATATATATTATAGATTGAAAGTGTGACAGTGTCAACGTAACGGTATTTTTGTGACAAGGCTTTTATATATATATAAATATATGTAAAATAAATATACATAAAATAATAAAAAAAAGAAAAGTAAAAAGATTGGATCGGTTTTTATGGCCCGATCCGATATTTTTGGAAAACGCTAAATATCGGTGCCGATCCGATATTTAATATCGGCACAGCCCTAATAAAAACCTCGCCAAACATTTCTTTTAAGAGTGATATCGGTTGGGGTAAAATAGATAGATGCCTTCTTCAAACCCTGATATAATTTTAACTTCCAATTAAATTATAATTTTCTATGTATTTAAAATAGAATTTTTATGGCAACGCTGATTCACTATTTTTTACCGATACGATAATGTTAAGTTATAATGTTGCAATTTGCAAATCATACACTAAAAATTGTCTTCGCCCTTCACATCCATATATTTATTTTTGTAATAGCCTCGAATATTTATATAAGTTGCCCGTTCCGACCCATGATAATTTTTTCGTAAAGATAAAATCCGAAAAAAATATTCTAAAATTGCATTATTTTAAGTTTTAAAAAAATGTTAAATTTTGCTCCGATTTTTATGATATTATGGAAGAAGCTCATTTATTTCATTCATATTTTTTTTAAATATAAAGGTCTATTTATTACAACAATCCTTCTGTTCACATATAAATAATATAGGAGTTGCCGGGTTTTTTGGGGCAGCTGCCTTCGGCATATACCGGTTTCGCAAGGCCCCCGCTCACGTTTCGGCCTCCTCTTACTTTGTTCAGTTGCGGGTGGTGGCGCAGAGTATAGCAGTCGGCGCTATTTCTGCCCTGGCTATGTACCAATTCTACAAAAATCTGGCCTTGGAATCTCAATCTTCCGATCCAGTAAAAGAGGCCGAAAGAGAGGGGAAATCTTTTCTTCTCACTATTCCCGATACCCATCACAAAACGACTCTAGTGGACATAAAAGGGCGAGATGAAATCAAACCAGGCTCTACACTTAGCAAGGATTGAGGGATCTTTAAAATAATCGAAGAAATAAATTGACGTAAATTCACAAGCATCTAAACTATTTTTATCCTATACAGATTTTAGATATTTGATTTCATTTGATTATTTTCTTAAAATATGATCACAAAAAATATGGAACACGCTGATTAACCAAAGTTATAAATATTATTTGGTACTTATTATTTTAAACCTATAAAAAAGTATTTTTTTAGATAATCATGTGGATTTTCATTTATAAATTTTAGAATATTTTGAACACGGATAAATTTATATCTATATTTTTATTATAAATTTCTGTTGTTAAATCAATCTATTATTTTATTCTTTATTAGACGGTGATATTTATTTTAAAGAAAATTAGAGTCATTTATAGCATTTAAAAATTCTGATATTACATTATAAAATAAATTTTATTTTTCTCTTATAAATGATAATAAATTATAATAATATTTAATGAAGATTATAAATGATAATTTTATTATAATTAGATAATTTTAATAAAATAAAAATTCATAGGTTAAGTCATAACAATAGGGTGACTTTTAAATCTATTTCAATTTATCTTTTTTCCCTACCTCACTAATTTATGTCTGTTGGCACAAGTCAGAATGGGAAATAAAAATCATTTTGATTTAAATCGTGAATATTATGATTTTTAAAATAATAAATTTTGAGTTCAATTATAATCTAAATAGAAAATCTAATACATTAAATTTTTTGTAACTTATTCCTACAATTTTTTAAAGTTTTAGTGAGAAAAAATTGCTTATATATATTTAATTTTCATTCCTTTATCAGTTTTAATCATAATTACAAAGGAATTAATAATAGAGCAGATTGACATGCAATTTTATTAATATAATTTTAAAAATCTTAACTATGGGAGAAGTGCCTTAAACGACCATAGGGGTAGACTGACGATTCCCTTTAACATTTTATTCATGATATCGATCACATTATTTTTCTTTGTTCGATGAAAAAATTACTCATTTAAAATACTGATATTCAATATAAATATTATCCTTAGGTGCCTCTTCATACAGAAGATTAAAACTTACAAATCTTCCCTTTTACCATATTTTGGTGCAATCTCGAGGCCTATGTTTGACTATGATCCTTATTTAACCGTCAGGGTTAAAGGATCTAATCACCATCTGTGCAAAAAATAGGCATCTATATCTAGGATTAAAAAATTTTTAAAAAAGGATCATGACCTTTTTATGGATGATACATATATTATTGTAATCTCTCTAGATTACTTATTTTACTAAAAAAACAAATTAAACCAATAAATATATTGATTACATATAATGTTAATTTTTGTAAATTATATTTTACAATTATATACATACCTACAAAAGTACGAATCGAATAATTGAATTATTCATATTCGTTTAAATTGAATAATTCGTATGAATATTAAAATGATTATTCGATTCGAAAATTTTATTTAACCATAGATTAAAAAAGATCGAATATTTTGTAAAATATAACTACGGATAAAAGACAAATAAATTTAATTAGTGAGATAAAATAGAAGCATACATATATAGTATATTTATATATAATGTAGAAAAATCAATATTATATTCATATCATGTAGAAGACAAATCTAACAACACAACAACTAATTTTTTAAACACTAAGTTTTTCGGATTGAAGACATTCTATATTTGGTAACCATATGCGCTCTAACAGAAAAGAGTTGCTCACATGGAGTTGACGATCCTTGTATTTTTATTCTCGCCATTTTAGATAAAACGGGAAAACGATTTCCGTGAATTTAATATTCTCCGGGAAAAAAAATTCCCCGGAAGATTACTCCCCGGAAAAAAAATTCCCAGGAAAATAATTCCTCGGGAAAAAATTTCCCGTTATACAGATCTTATAAAATATTGGTGAGTCATTGACGTGATTCTCCTTTTAATTAGTTAAACTTAGAACGACATTCTGTTTAAAAATTACGTCCATATTTGATTGTATTAATGGTTGATTAATTGATACATCATATTTTATTTTATAATCATCGAGCATTTTCATAAAATTTTTTAATATAGTTGTAGCGTTGATATTATAAGACAGAGGTAGGTACTCTAAAAATTCCAATTTAAGTCTGGGATCTAATCTAGTAGGGGTAGTAGTTTCCAAATTTGTGCAAGTATAATAAGATACTATTTATTGTTGAGCATTAATTGCGTTTACGAGTGTTATCAAAGAGAATTAAGTTCGTCCATCATAAAACAATTTTCTTGCATTATGAAGTTATTCTAATAAAAAAGGCCGTTAACAACAATTTTAGAAAGATAAAATGTTTTTTCATTATTCCACTAGAAGTTTTATTAAATAGGAGTAATTTTAAATAATTCCTACTAATAATATATGATATTTTCCAACAAATAATTCGTTTTAGGTATAATTATATAAAAATACACCAATAATTTTATAATTTGACAACTCTATGGTGTAGCAGAATTTATCCAACATATGAAGGGGGGGGGGGGGGGGGGTATTTCAAAAGTTAGTGCGTATTTAGTACATTTTAGTGCTTTAACTCGTTTGATATATAGTTTAAAGGAAAATGCATTGCAGAATAATAAAAAATTGCCAAGAATAGTATATTGCTAGAGCGAAAATTATGCAAACTGAATATTTTTTTAAAATTTAATTAATAAATTATGTTACTATCGGTTAATTAACTATTTATTTATTAAAATAATTTTTAATTAAAGTATCCCATTCCCATATGATGCTTCAGAATTTTTATATTAGCGAGATAAGTGAATTTTCAGCAACAGATTCAGAATTCGATGATTAGGATTTCGACGAAAGGTGTGGAGACAAACTATGAGTTAATATTTATATATTTAAAATTGATAGATTAGAGTTTGTTTCTAGATTCACTGATTGTCAGAGTGCGATAATATTATGTATATTCCAACACTTAAATTTTCATTAGAATATATTGACAAATATTTTAGAGAGCAAATTTATCAATAAGCCATAAAACTATTATTCGAAATTTTAAATATGATGAGAAAAGGGTATTCTTTTAGATTTTATTATAAAATAAAGGAAAGTTTTATTGATTCTGTTATGTATTGGATTGTTTTTTTTGTAAAATGTTTTTTTCATTATATAAATTTAAATAGAAAAGAAAAGAAAATGCGAAGATATATTTCAAGAATTACTTCTATTAATTAATACATTTCAAGAATGGCGCAGTTAATAAAAAGTCTAACAGATTCAAACCTGTGTTACAAAGATTGATACGACTTATTTAAAGAATTTTAATACACACAACCATGTTTAACATCATCACAAGAAAAACCATTGTTATTAACAACAATAGGATGTGATACTTACAAAATACTGGTAAATTTATGTGCACCTGATAGTCCGGGAAAAGAGGTATTAGAAATACATAATATTTTAATCAAATTTTTTCATTCCAAACCTAATAAATTATAAAGAGATATAATTTTTATTAATATAATCAAAAAAATGACGAAAAATTAATAGACTATATACAAAATCTTCGAACATTAGCAACAACTTGTGAATTTAGGTAATATTTAAATACTGCATTAAGAGATAAATTCATATTCGGAATAATAAATTCCAGGGCCGTAGCCACCCCGCCCCCCCCCCAAAAAAAAAATTTTTGGCCACCAAACCTGGCCCCCCAAAATTTTCTGCCCCCCCCCCCCCAATTTGAAATTTTTTTTTAGAATTGATTATTTTTATATTTTTAATATAAATTTTGAATATTTATTCAAAAACATGTCTATTTAGAATTGATTATTTTTATATTTTTAAAATAAATTTTGAATATTTATTCTACAAACATGTCTAGTTTGTTAATTTTTTTCTATCCTATTTTATTTTTATTTTTACCCAATATTAAATTATCATTCATTCATTTTTTTTTCATTTTTTTTTGTTGTGTATAACATTCTCTATAGGTATCACATTTATATTATAATATATAACCAGTTATTTTATTTTACAGCGTTTATTTTAAAATTATGAAGAAACAATCAGTTATTAACTCTTATTTTAAGTTAAAGTTAAACAAATGTCAAGCAACATCACCTCTACAAACTACTAGTAATACACATCAGAAATTTTAGAAACTGATTCTTCTCATAGTTAGTATAAATTTATATTATTATTTCATGACTTATATGATATTGATATAGGGCAATACCTATATATTATTATTTCATATATATTTATTTTATATAAGATAAGATAAGAGACAGACATTTATTATTAATATTATCATTTTTGTATAATAATTTTAATTATTAAAATAAATATATTCACTCATATTTCAAGATATGAATGAAGCTAATAATCTAGAAAATGATCCTCACTACACTCAGGAGGAGGAAGATGGTAAATAGTTTAAAATTTAACACAAATTTTTCTATTTATATATTTTTGACAATATCAATAGGAGTAGGAAATTATGGTGTTTCATTATTACATTTTGATTTTAAAACAAATAAAGACGAAGAAGATACTCAATCATCTTCATCTAGCAGATCATTCTCTCATTGTCAAGAGGCAACTAGTAATTGATTTAATATAAAAATATTATATTTTTTTGTTAATCTTTAAAAATATAATGTTTATGACCCTTTTCTAGTTTTCAATACTGAATATCTATAATTTTACTGATCAACTTTACTGATAATCTTCATCAGGGTTTGGCACTACAGTATAGCAAATACTTGTATCTTAAATACAAGATAAATTTTGTGTTTGTTCATTTTCAGCATGCCCTTACTTCGCCCATCCTGATGACCATTATTATTTATGACCCTTTCCCTCATTACAATTTATTAATTATAATATTTTTAGTGTCAAAAAAGTCCTCTAATGGTTCAATTCAAATCTCAGGTGACCTTGGCCAGAATAAATCAAATCAAATTAAACAATTACGCGAAAAAAGATATCCATGGAAGGCAAAGATCATTTCAAAAATCATGGTATAGAGGCCGAGACTGGTTGGAGTATAGTGTAGAAGCTGACGCTGCCTTTTGTTTTCCATGTAGGAAATACTTGTGTAATCCAAGTGATGAATTTGGACAAACGGGATTCAGAAATTGGAAAAATGCGTTAGCTGCCAAGAAGGGACTGCTAAAACACGAGAGCTCAGCTCATTTAAATTCAATTACAATATGGCATGATAAAAATCAAAATATAAATAAAGGTACAGAAATAACTAAAATGTTGGGAGGTGATCAAATTAATCGTAATCAATATTTGATGCTATTTCTTACCATACAAGAGCTACCTTTCCGGGGACTGGTTCAACAAATATTACGGATGCTGCAAAAG